ATGATATTGGAAGAAGGACACCGAAGTGACTTGAGTATTCATCCGGGTGCTACTAAGATGTATCAAGAATTGAAGAAAATCTTTTGGTGGTCCGGATTGAAGAGGAATGTAGCTCAGTTTGTGTAGGTGTGTTTGACTTGTCAGAAGTCTAAAGTGGAACATTAAAAGCCTAGTGGATTGATGCAACCGTTGGGTATTCCGGAGTGGAAATGAGATAGTATATCGATGGATTTTGTTACGGGATTTCCGAATACGCAAAGAGGGCAGAATGCTATTTGGGTGATTATTGATAGGCTTACTAAGTCTGCTCACTTCGTTCTGATTGATATTGGTTATCCTTTGGAGAAGTTAGCTGCGATTTATGTTCGTGTGGTTATGAAGTTACATGGAGTTCCTAAGAGTACTATATCGGATAGAAATCCTAGATTTACATCGAGGTTTTGGGAGAAGTTTGCAAAGTGCTTTGGGTACGAAGTTACGTTTAAGTTCTGCTTATCATCCGCAGACCGATGGTCAGACCGAGAGGACGATTCAATCACTTAAGGATCTTTTGAAGGCTTGTGTATTGGAAAAGGGAGGAGCTTGGGATGGCTACTTAACTTTGATTGAGTTTACTTACAACAACAATTTTTATTCGAGTATTGGAATGGCACCGTTTGAGGAATTGTATAGTAGGTGGTGTAGGACGCTATTATGTTGGTATGAGTCGGGAGAGAGTTTTATGGTTGGACCCGAGATAGTCCAGCAGACTACCGATAAGATTAAGATGATTCAAGAGAAGATGGAGGTTTCTCAGGGTCGTGAAAAGAGTTATCATGATAAGAGGAGGAAAGCACTTGAGTTTCAAGATGGAGATCACATGTTTCTTCGAGTTACTCCCGTGACTGGTGTTGGTAGAGCGTTGAAGTCGCGTAAGTGGACATCGTGTTTCATTAGTCTTTATCAGATTTTGCAGAGGATAGGAGAGGTAGCCTATCGTGTTACTTTGTCGTCGTCGCTTGCTAACCTTCATGACGTGTTCCATGTATCTCAGTTGAGGAAATACATTGCGGGTCCGTCTCATGTAGTCCAAGTAGATGATGTACAGGTGGAGAATAACCTGACTGTGGAGACATCACCTATGCAGATAGAGGATCGAGAGTTGAAGCAACTTCGAGGTAAAGAGATTGTTTTGGTGAAGGTCGCTTGGGGAGGATCAGCTGGTGGAAATGTGACTTGGGATCTTGAGAGTCAGATGAGGGAGTTTTATCCTGAGTTATTCGTTTAAGGTAATTTTCGAGGGCGAAAATCTTTTAAATGGGGGAGGGTTGTAACAACCCAATTTTTAATGATTAATTATTTGTATTAATTAATTGATTTATGTGACTTATTTGATTTAAATGAATTACTTAATTCATATGAGTTAATTAATTTAATCTAAATATGTGATTTATGAAATTAATTAAATTAATTGATTTATTCATTTGGTAGAATAGTGTATAATTTCTAGATTGATTGGTTGGGCCTAATTAGAGGTGTGTGAATAGAAAGTGAGAGGAGTTGGGTAAAGCCCAATAGAAAGGATTAAAGAGTTAGGGTTTTAGAGAAATGTTGGAAAAAGAAAAGAAAAAGATAGAAATAGAAAGAAGAGAAGGGAAGAGAAAGAAAGAAGGAAGAAGAGAGGAGAAAATAGAGGAAGAATTATCAAAGATCAACATCTAGGATTCGATTTAATCGGGTAAGGGAAATATTGTTATCTTATCAATGTATATCGTTATGTATGTGTGTGTGTGTTTGGATCGTTGGATGTTTTCCCCATTTTTCCATTTTTAGGTCGAAATGGTTTAATTGATATAAACCGATATTTTAACGGTTAGAATTTGGAATAAGTGATGCAGTTTAGTCGAGGAATGTTAGGCTAAGGCTATGGAAACTTGTTGGAATTGAATCGGCTGATTTTAGGACCTTGTGATATTTTTGGACAGTAGAGGTTTTTGAGAGATCGCAGAGGTTCGCTAAGCGAGCAAGCTAGCGAGTGGTTCGCCAGGCGAGCTGCTAGCGAGCGAGTAGCGAACGGTCCCAGACTTGGACAGAACCAAAATGACCCTTGTTCGCTGGGGCGAGTAAGGTAGCGAGTGTTCGCTAAGCATTCGCTAAGCGAGCTAGGCAGCGAACACTTCCAGTAGCAAAAGGCAGGCTTCGCTAGCACGTTCGCTAGGCGAGCCAGTAGCGAATGTTTGCTATGCCTTCTCTAGGCGAGTGAGCCAGCGAGAATGACAACATTGTTTTATTTCTGTTGTTCCCATCTGATGTTGATGCTTTGGTTCTTCAACACATAAATTGTGTGTTGTATTATGATATATTGTGGATAGCCGTATGGCGCGAATCCTAGACTGTGGAATTGATTGTGAAATGTGGCCTTTTGGCAAATATATGCATTGTTCAAATTGATTAAAAGTGCATGATGATTGTGATGGAGTTCGTTGCCGTTTGGCGCGATATTGAGAATGCATATTGATTGTATGCGATTGTATGTGAAGCACCATGATATGTATTTGTGTTCATTACTTGATGAATGTAATGATGATGTTGAAAGTATGAATACTTTTGTGATTATGAAATGTGTTGTGTGTGCAATCATGATATAATTCTTGTGTGATAAATTATTTGATAATGCATGGGGTTAAGATGCGAGAACGGTCTTAAGTGCATTGGTTGTTGATTGCATACGCATCATTTGTGTTAAGAGGCAATGCTTGCTAGTCTCGTGGAGGTTAGTGACTTGTCCCAAACCTAGAGAGGGGTTTGAAAGCTTAAAGGACGGGCTTTTGTTTGTTATTGGTCTAGAGGACGGACACTGTTTAAATGTAAAAACCGAAAAATAATAACAAGTGTTGGTACCACATGACATGAGTTGCATTGAGTTACATTGAGTCACATGGCATAGGTATAATGGTTGTATTGAAAGTATACATGTGTGTATAAATTGTTGAACTGAGATTGTGAATCGATGAATAAACATAATTGTAAATGTTTATGTGGAATGAGTGAATTATGGATGTATGCATGATGAATGTGCTTGGTGATTCTCCATATATTTTGTATATACATTGTAACGTATATGGATGACTTGTGGTGAGAATGTTGATTATGTGTATTCTAAGAATGTAGATATATATAATTATATGCATTGATTATTATGATAATATTTCTCACTCTTCTGTTGTTTTATGATACTCTATGAGACATTGCAGAGTAGGTATGCTGGAGGTCTTTTGTGAAGCGTGTCTTCATTCTTTTGTCGGTCGGCTCTGATATGTAGCACCGGGTTGCTAGGATATATGATTCTTTTGTGCTACGTTGTGTATATATCTTGTATGGTTGTTTATGAAAACATGAATTACGTTGTGAATCAAATTGGATGATATATATATATATATATATATATATATATATATATATATATATATATATATATATATATATATATATATATATATATATATATATATATATATATATATATATATATATATATATATATATATATATATATATATATATATATATATATATATATATATATATATATATATATATATATATATATATATATATATATATATGTTTGATGTTAATCAATGTTTAGATGTTTTCGCTTATATTCTAAATATTGAGATGTGGGTGTAAGGACTAAGTTCCTCTGTTGAAAGTTACCCCACTGTTACATATCTTTATTGAGCAGGTGATGTATATTTTAAATCTAAGTATGATGTGGCGCACCTCTTTTAAATCCAATTTTAATATGTGCCTAAATGATTTATTTGATTAATTGAGGGTATAGAAAGGGGATGTTGCAGTCTACATATCTTGCAAGGTGTCTTGCACTTCTTACCTTATAGCTTAAATAATATTCCTTTTAAGTGTCTAGAAATTCCTATATATTTTACTCTTAGAAGAATTGATACTTGAAAATCATTATTAATGGTTAAAAAGAAGGCTGAAAAAACAAATGTCTGATTGATCAAATCATTAATAATCTCTTATCCTTAATCATTTAAGTTTTTATTTTTTATTTAAAATTTTAAATAAAATATATTTTATAATATTCTTTAGAACTTAAATTATTGACAAACATAAATATAAAAATAAATTATTTTATAATAATAATCTCAAGAATAATATTTTTATAAGTATAGTTTTAATTCTTCCAACGAACACATATTTACTAGTTCATGTTTAATGAATTTTTTATAAGAAAATATATTATATAAGATATCATTTTTATGTGAAAATATAAATATTAATATGAACCACTAAATTTTAAAATAAATGATCAAAATTATGTGTCAGTTTTTTCTCTCCCCTCTATCAAAGAGACAAAAAAACAAAAATCATACATAATCTCTACCATTTATTTTAAAATTTAATAATTTAAATTTATATTCTTAAATAAAAATGAGATATACTTATTTTTATAAAGAAAATAATAACATAAGTTCCTTAAATATACTTCTTTCTTTATATTGATTTTATTTACACATTCTTCGTATAAAACCATGGTTATAAAACTTAAAAAGGTTTGAATTTTGGCGAGTGTATACACGCAGATGAAGAAGCAAAAGTAGAAGAGACGGATAAGAAAGAAGAAGAATATGAGCCGAAAAAACGGCCCATTCCATTTAAGTTAAAAGCCGGCACGCATGATGCCCCACCCTCGCCGCTTGTCTCGAAATTCCCAAGTGCCACGTATCCCTCAAACATAAACTCCCTCTCTCTCTATCTCTATCTCTTGGGCGGCGTCACGTCACATACTCTTCTTTGACTGTACCTCTCACCCACAATCAATCACATAAATTATTATTTCTTCATTTTTTCTTTATTTCTTTTTTCTAATTAAAAAACAACTCCATTATTTTTGTATATATACCCCATCTCACCCAACCCTTAAGGAAGCACCACTACCCACGTACTTCTCTCTAGTTACGCCATTACGCTATTCTCTCCCACAATCGCAATCAATGGTTATGAAACCAAAGAATGTCAAGCCTTCCAATAATAATGCAACCGAGATTCATTTCAGAGGCGTCAGAAAGCGACCGTGGGGCCGTTACGCCGCCGAGATTAGAGATCCCGGCAAGAAAAGCCGCGTTTGGCTCGGCACCTTCGACACCGCCGAGGAAGCCGCAAAAGCCTACGACGCCGCCGCTCGTCAGTTCCGTGGTCCGAAAGCCAAGACTAACTTCCCTCCTCCTTCCGACAACAAAGAGAATACCGTCAACAACAATCAGAGTCCCAGCCAGAGTAGCACCGTTGAGTCATCTACGCCAGAGCGTGCTCTCACGCGCTCTCGTGAAGTTCCTGTTGGTGGCGTAATGGATCGGTTTCCGTTTCTCTCGATCCAGCAACAAATCATGCCGTTTCCCTGTGCTACCGCTGGTGCTGTTGATGGAATGGTAACAACTGCTGTGCACCCGGTTTTCTTTTATGATCCATCCGGTCGAGCTGAGTATATGAACCAGAGGTTTTCGACTAGGTTTGAACCGGGTCCGATTGAGTTTAACTTTGGCGGTGGCGGTGGGGTTCAGAGTGATTCCGATTCGTCATCTGTTGTTGATTGTCAGCCAAAGAGAGCTCTAAATCTTGATCTTAACTTAGCTCCACCAATGGATGTTTAATTTTTTTAACACTTTTTTTAATTAATTTTAAAATTATATCTCACCGTATTTTTAGATGAAAATTAGAAACCAGAAAGCAGGAAGGACAAAGTTTACTGTTTTTTATGGAAGATTAATCTCCCATTATTTTGAGGAAGATAAGCTGTTAATTACATCCTTTGATCTAAATATGTTAGCTTTGTAATTTCATTTTCTATTTGTTACATTAATTAACCAGCTTAAAGAACATTGATCCGAAATTATCTACTAGCAATATGTAGTTCCGGCACATGTTAAGCTCTTTTGATTTTTTAAGTAAATAACAACTTTTGATTTTGCTTTTCACGAAACTATACTTTTGTCGATTTATGCTAATTTTTATTTGTTAATTTATTTTCCTATGTTAAGCAAATAATATTTGTTTTATAATAATTTATAATTTTCAAAATGTAATTGTACAATTTTAAAATGTCACTTTGAATTTTGAAGTGAAAATAGTTTGTTTTTTTTTTATCTTTTTAGACAAAAGTTGCTCACATGAGTGAGTGAGGTCTAAAGGTAAATTTTGAGAATTGATAGTACTATGATTACGATGATATTTTTTAGGGGATTTGTTTTTCAATCTATGATTTACACCTCTTTCAAAACCTAAAATTTGTCGTCAAAGATGTAATGCATTTTTAAATATTTTTTCTAAATATTTTTGAGGAGAATTTGAAGATGCATGCATTTTAGTCCGAAATATTGTCTTAAATTTATATTTTTTAATTCAAAATCATTTTAATTGGATTAAAAATTATTATAATTTGATTCAAACATTAATAAACACGAACATTATAGAACAAGATATTTTATTAATTATAAAAAAATCATAATATTATAGATTTGGATCCTCTCTTTTTTTATATATCATGTCATCTCTCATATTTCTTAAATAAAAAAAATTATTTATGGTTGTTGATTTTGTAGATGAATAAAGACAAATTACTTATCCATTTCTCTCTCCTATTAAATGACTTTTTTTATTTAATTATTCATTATAAATTTTGAACCGTTAGATTAAAAACATGAGAGATGACATGATATATAAAAAAGGAGAGGATCCAAATTCTAATATTACAAACATTGTTCTCAACATATGAAAAATAATACCAAAAACATCAGTATGAAAAATAATACCAAAAACATCACAAAATACAAATAAAAGCATAACATATTACGTATGCCTAATCCTAACCCCCTAACTCCTCCTCTACTGCCTGTAACCCAAGGCATTCTGTGTCTCGGTAAGAATGGAATATACTAGGGCAACAACTTCATCATCACCTCTCTCAAACAGTTCAGACTCTATGCCCTCATACGTAATTTGCATAATATTTTGACAGATCGACAACACATCAATGGCAAGGTCATCCCTGACCTGCTAATTCTTCAGGATATCCTCATGAGCAGGCATAGGCGGATGTTCAAAAGTGTTTGGTGTCATGATAGAGTGTGACACACGATAGAACTAAGTCATGTAACTGTCCACATAAGACCATTAACTTTTGACTGACATACCGATACTCCTTTGGTACTAAATGACTCTCGTAATCCGCCATTATGTTATCAAGATGTCTGTGGACGATGATGTTATGAGCAGACTCGAAGAGGGATCTCAGATTGATTTACACATATCCAAACTAACGCATGCATCGCTCTAGCAATACTTGCACATCAAATTTGTCCCATATGCCAGTCATCCAGAGTAAAATGAAATGGGTCAAAGGCAATAATGTTCTGATAAATGGTGTATGGTGTTCAGTCGATGTCATCATGTTGAGTCCAGTCAATATACACACGAAACAACCGCACAAGATCATTATTACCTATGCGTGAGCAAAATAGGCAAGCACGCAGCCAATCTTCAGTGTACTCTAGCACATAATCAAACCCGTGTATGCGGTTAAAGTGGGATAACATTCATCCCTGAAAAATGAATAAAAAAATATTAGTGACAAGTGTAAAAAAAAAGTGCTTTTAAAATTTTAGTGGCTATGGAAATTACCGCCAATAGGGTGCGGGAGCCTGTCATTTGCTTTGTCGTCCAAAGAGAGCATTCGCTCAACTTAGAGTACATGCATACCAAACAAACGGTACCCCAGTTCCACGCGTGAATTGTTGACAATTCGATGAAGTACTTAAGGCATGCCACATCAGCGTAGGTTGCACTTTTTTCCACAAACATGGACGTGTCAACCAAGAATAGAAGGTAACACCTCAAAGCACATTTTTGGTGGTAGGTAACTTGTATATCATCGAAGTCGGCATCATCGACCAACTCCAAGTTATCTTCATTTAGCTTCTGCAAGTATGAAAACTTGGCATGAGCACCTTTGGTGCTCTCACACTGAATCGGGGCATCCGTTTGGTCAGCTCTTATATAAATGATCATCATCTCCTAGGTTTTATCACGTTTGATAATGAAATGATCAAGTAACTTCTTTTTGATGGGAAGGTGTAGAAGGAAAGCGATGTCATATAATGTAATTGTCATCTTTCCAATGGGGAAGTGGAGTGATGATGTTTCCTTATGTTGTCTCTCAGCAAAATCCCTCTGCATGTCGTGGCTAATGGTCTTGTTCTCGGAAGAACACAGGTCGGGAAGACCGGAGTATCGGATGACACTTTGGAACTAATGATCCTTAGGATGATGAAGCTTCAAAATCTTTCCATTTTGGTTAACAGACTTCAAATAGTCACACTTTTGTTAAAAAAAATTATCAGTCGCAGGGAATTTGTTTAAAACATATGAATAACGACCGTTAACAAATATACCTCTCCGGTCAAGACATGCCTAGAAACATGATTTGAATAATATATCAATAAAGAGGTGTTAGAGGGCCCTATTCGATAAGGTTCTGCAAGTGGAGGGGCACCATCATGTGGAGTAGAAGTTTCCTTTCGATCTACGTGAGCAGGGGAGACATGCCCCTGGGATGGAAACCCCTATGACAAGAGGATCCTAGAAGTCGATGTTTCCTCGTTAAGAGGCCTAGGGACGGTTCCTCTTCTAGCTCTAGCTTGCTTATTCTGAAGTTTCACTCCCTCACGTCGAGCAGACGCGTGTTGGGTTTCATGGCCAAGTCTCATTCTGTCGTTGTTGTTTACAACCATTTTTCCTAAAAAATATGAGAAAAGACATGGGTTTGCATCTTAGACATTTTTCTATATGCATCTCTGAAATCCAGCAAGGATATAATTCAGAGATGCATCTTCGAAAAACCCCTTGTTCGCAACAATAGCATAAAAGGGTACCAGTACTACCCTAACAACCCAAAATGCAACCAAATCATAGTGCATATCTCTAACAACTACCTATTTCAAATATGACTACTACCTAATGCATTTAAAACTAACTATTTTATCTAATACATTAATAAAAAAATAAAAAATAAAAAATTTAAATGAGAAACTTACCCAAAAAAGTGTTGATGACGATGCAAAATGACGAATGTAGTAAGTGGAGTGAGTTGGGATAGGTACTATTGAAGTAAAGGTACTACTATTCCTTGAAAAATTGACTATAATAATGTTGCTGACGAGCTCCAATGTATCTCAAAAGTTGAATGTAAAATGAAGAAGGAGAAGGGGGGTTGTCCGCACATTATATATAAATTAAACGCGTTCAAAGATGCATCTATGAAAAAACTAATGAGTTTGAAAACATGGTTAGTCTGGAGATGCATCTACGAACAAACCCTAAAAACACATAAGGCAATGCATCTCTGAATTAAATTTTGTCCAAGTGAGGGAATATTAAACATTTGCGCTTATTTTTGTGTGAAAACGGTGTGTTCAAAGATGCATCTCCAAAAACTTAGAAGGATTTTTGACTTTTCGCCAAGGGTTTGGAAGAACTTATAGAGATGGAAAAAGGGAGGTTCTTTTGTGTAAAAGGGAGGTTTTTATGCTTTAGTTATAAATATATAAAATGAGGTTCTTTTGGTAAAAGGGAGGTTTTTATTTTATTAATTTTGTAGGTTGACTTCTTATTAAATCATAAAAAACTAATTTTTAAAATTATACTTTTAAAGTGGTTTTAGGTCTCTAAACAAGTTGGGCAGACGCTCCCTCACTTTTATGATTAGAATTTATGTATCTTAATTTAATGTCTTATTTTTTTTATAGCAAGATTTTAGTTTTCTAATAATGAACTATTTTCATAATGTTATTTATTCTATCATTTGACAGTCATGTTTCAATCATTTTTTATAATTATATGTTTTCTTATGGAAAATCTATGCGTAGTCTCGAGGTCTTAGAACCTTCAGATAGACCATAACTTAAAACTTAACTAATCGGTTTGACATTATTATGATGACATCAATATTTGATGATTTTAATTAAACAGTTTGTTATCTTATAAAAGGATTTAAGTATTTAGGGGATTTTGTATTAGGTTGGATAATGGTTATTATCGGGCCTTGTGTCTAGGCCAGAACAATATCTCCCAAATGTGGTTCGGTGAAACTGAACCGAGGGTCGCCTAATATTTTTCAATAAATGGTCTGCGAATGGGGTTCGATTACCCTTGATATTTGTAAATTTGATTTTGTCGGTCTTTTAGTTTTGTTGTTAGTTGTCATTATCGACCTTAAAAAATTGTATGGTTTTGTTGTCACGGGTCTATGTTAGTATGTTCTTTGACGTCTTTCATGTGAATATTTTTTCTTTAGTCATAACTATTTTAGGTTATTTTCTCTTGTCTTTTAGTATCCTCCTTAACTTGAGATGTATCTTCAAAGGCATGTTCTTAAGGATTTTAGGCCTGGGATGCATTTATTGTTCCTTACCCCTACTCTTAAGTGTGATAATTGTTACATGGGAAAATGTAGCTCTAATGATTCTAGTTAGGTTCATATGACCTTTTGTCATTGGTTTTGTCGTTTGAATTTCCTTACAAATCAGAATTTAATTGTTTATTTGTATATTTTTCATTTTCTATAATATGTGAGCTCAAGTTTCCCCATTTTATTACA